CAGAATATAGAGCCCTGGCCTTCACAGCATGCGAAATTCAGTGGTTGCAATATCTTCTCCAGGATTTCCAGGTTTCCTCTTCCAATCCGGCGACCATGTACTGCGACAATCAGAGCGCCATCCACATTGCCAAGAACCCAACCTTCCATGAAAGAAAAAAACACATTGAACTTGATTGCCACTTTGTCAGGGAAAAGCTGCAATTGGGAACGTTGAAGCTTCTGCACATCTCCTCATCTCACCAATTGGCCGATCTATTCACCAAGCCGCTGTCACCTGCTTCGTTTCTGTCCCTGATCTCCAAGCTTGGTGTTGGAAACTTGTGCCCACCAGCTTGCGGGGGGGTAACAGAATGAAATTCAATTCCAACAGTCTTCTATCGATCCGTCGACGTTTTGTTCCAATGAAGAAGGGCCTTCGCTGCGCTGCCGTTTTCGCCATCAATCTCTTTTCCATTTAAAGCGCTGTCGTTTCTCTTTTCTTTAGTGTAGAAGAACTGGAACGCTGCCGTTTCCACTTTGCCTGTTTTAGCTCTGTTTTCTTTTTCGCCAAGTCAGGCTTGTTTCCCTTTCCAAGCTATCAGACAGCTTTAATGGAGCTTGTCATCTTGTATGCTCATCTGCCTATAAGAGGCGAATTGGATCAATGAGAAAAGTAAGCTAGGTTTTCACTCCTTCATTCCTCTTCCTTTGTTAGCGTCCTCGATGAACGGAGGTTGAGTCGAATGGAATCGATCAAGTCGGCTCAACGAAGATAATGGGGGAGCTTGTTAGAGAAAGGGTCACGGACAAAGAATCGAACCTGCTATCTCGGGATGTGCAATTGAGTTATGGTTTGTGGGAAGCGAATGCGACTCATTGCTGCAAGCGTAGGGGAATTTTGGCCGTAAATGGTTCAGTTAGCCGTCCCTGACAAATCGTCGAGCACCTGGTGGGCGGTCCTAAATCGATACTAAAATTCCCGCCGAGAGCCCGAGACGAGACCCTTTCGTATTGATATGTCTAGTTGGTTAATTAGGCGTAGACGGGCTCCGTTTATGTATTGACTCGGGCTTCTCGAATACTACCTCTTTCTATAATTCGACGAAATTATGGGCCAAAAGTCCAAAACTGTGTGCCCAAGCCGAAGCCCTCGTTAGCTTTCAGTTTCCTTGTTGATGTATTAAACGTACACGGACAATTTGCATTAGTAGTAGACTACTTTTTTTTTATAGTAACCTATGCTCGGAGCTTTTATTGAGGTGAAACTGTTACATCATCCAGACGAAGCTGGTCTAAAAGAATTATCGGTGGCGTATGAAACCACACAACTGTTTCCTCCCACCCTGTTCTAATAGTCGCCATCATATGGCTGCATTATTAGCTTCTCGATAAACATGGTGCCACGTACCTCCTTCAGCTTCGGCCAACAAGCGTCTCACACTCCGACAAATCACTCCAACCTCCGTCTGATCCGTCATCGCTTTGGCTGTGATATTCGTCGAGGTAAGATAACGCTCTAGCAAAAAATATCAATCTCCTCCGTCTTTGATCCATTGAAGAGGTGCGTATTCCTTTCCTTCCATATAGCCCATAGAAACACAATCCATTCTTCTGTCTCCCGCTGCGAAGTTTCTTTTATCACCTTCCAAACCCAATCCATACATCCCAGTGCGCCTCTTATATTAAACCACTTCGCCAAATGGGTAGGTCTCCATAGCCGGCTTGTCCACTCACATTGCCCAAATAAATGAATCTGGGTCTCCCGTAGATCACAAAACGGGCATTCATCGCCTCTTCGTTGGCTTCGGGTACTCACGTGATCACCTGTAGCCAGTACATTACGAACCATCTTCCACACAAAATGGCGGATATTGGGGGGGACATTCAGCGCCCATATCTGTTTCCACATCTCCGGCGTTCCCACTACTTCAATACCATTCGACTGTTTAAAATCCTCGACCCACAACAGATACCCATCCCGAACTGTATAGCATCCCGAACTGTTGTTTGCCCATATCAGCTTATCCGACTCTCTACAGTCTTGGAGTGGGATTGTCCGTATGGTCGTAGCAATTGCCGCCGGAAAACAACTCTCAAGAAGAGCCTCGTCCCATCGCTCTATCTCAGGATCGATCAGGTCTCGGACTTTTGAATCTACCGGGAGGGCCATCGGCGCTGAAGGGAAGACCAATCCCGGGGAGCTTGCTAACCATCTATCGCTCCAGATACGCACCGAGTCTCCATTCCCTATCCTCCATCGTATCCCTTTCTATAGAAACTTTTGTGCCCCCATAAGACTACGCCATATGAAACTCGGTCGGTATCCAACTTCTGCCTCCATAATATCCGAATGGCGGTGGTACTTTGCCTTCAAAATTTGCGCTACAAGAGATGATGGCCTTTGCTGCAGGAGCCATAGTTGCCTCGTCAGGAGCACAACGTCAAAACCACTTAGGTCCCTGAAGCCAATCCCACCTTCTCTTTTCGAGCAAACTAAAGAGTTCCTCGCCACCCATGGAATTCTTCTTTCCTCCCCCTTCTGTTTCCACCAAAATCGCATAATCATACTGTGAATATCCTCAATTATGCCTTCCGGAATTTTGAATACCGACATCACATAAGTAAGTTGTGCCTGAGCCACCGACTTGATCAGTACCTCTCTTGATGCCACCGACATATGCCTTTCTTTCCAACTCGTAAGCTTCTTCCTTACCCTTTCCTTAAGATAGGCAAATAGCTCTTTTCTCGCCATACCCACCTCCGTTACCAAACTCAGATACTTATCATGCTTCTCCACTCACTTCATCCCCAGCAAAGAACTGACCGAGAGCCACTGATGGGGTGTCACGTTCTTACTGAAGGATACTTCAGACTTCTCAAAGCGTACAAGGTGGCCTGAATCCTTCTCGTAATCCGTTAAGTTTTTCTTCAATGCATTCCTTCCTGTACAGTTGCCCTGGCAAAAAAGATAGCATCATCAGCAAAAAACTGATGGGAGATTGTCGGGGCTGCTCTGGTGAGTCACCATGGAGCTGATTATCCCGAACTGCCTTCTATGTATAGGCCGATAGTCCTTCTGCGACTAACAGGAACATGTACGGAGATAGTGGGTCACTTTGTCTTAAACCTTTTTCGGTAAGAACGTTGGCGATCTATGCCCGTTGACCAGGACAGAATAATAGACTGATCGAACGCACATCATCACCATCCTTATCAGCCATTCTACGAAACCCAAACGTCGCATAATTTCCTCCATGAACCACCACTCGACCCGATCGTATGCTTTAGCCATATCCGTCTTTGCTGCAAGAAAGCCTTCTTGCTTCATCGGGGCTATCTTCTTGGAATGGAAACACTCAAAAGCCGTAATCACGTTGTCAGCAATGAATCTCCCTGGCACAAACGCACTTTGTTCATGTGATATAACCATAAATAACAATTCTTCAACATGTTCGCAATAACCTTCGAGATAATCTTGTATAGAACATTACACAGACTAATTGGTCTGAACTCCTTTGGCTGGGTTGGCCACTTAACTTTTGGGATTAGAGCTATCAAGGTGTGATTCAAGCCTGGCGGTAAGCATTCATTCTTTATCGCCTCCATCACTATTCTTGTTACCTCATCGCCGGCGATACTCCAATACTTCTGATAAAACAGCATTCACATACCATCTTCACCCGGAGGCTTCCTCCTTCCCATCTGGCGCAAAGCCTCATATATCTCTTCTCGTGTTATATCCCGAAGCATACTTTCAGTTACTCCTGCGTTACTTTTGGAGTAACTGAATCCAATACCGGAGTTAACTCTGGTCGCATTCCTACAGTAAACAACTTGCTGAAGTAACTTGTTAAGCAGCCGAACAACTTCTCCTTCCCATTGCACCATCTCCCTGTATAGTCCTGCAACTTTTTTATTGTGTTTCGTCGTCTCCGCGTTGTAGCTTTCCTATGAAAAAAATTGGTGTTCTTATCCCCTTCCTTAAGCCAATCAGCTCGTGACCGCTGCTTCCAGAAATTTTCTTCGTCGGCTTTAATTTGTTCCCTCTCCAGCAGGAGTTGTTGGCGTTGGTCAAGCACCTGCTGAGGAATTGTTCTACTGTCCAAACTTCTCAAGGCCCGCCTATTTTTTTTCCTTCTGTCGGGCAAAGTTTGGGAAGTGCAACCGGCTCCAAAAATCCAAACTGCCCCTGACTTCCCCAACCTTTTTGTAATACTAGCTTCCCCACCATTCCATGCCTCCTCTATAACTATACTACACTCCTCATGCCTATTCCAATATGGTTCGAATTTAAAAGACCATCCCCACCGTATTTCCTCGTCTTCCGCACCACTCGTATTACATACTATTGGGCGGTGATCAGAGCGGCTGCGGTCAGCATGGTGTACTTGAGCCCCACCAAACTTTTCTATCCACTTATCATTTGCCACGAATCGATCCAAACGTTCCTCAATATATCCCCCAACTCTTCTCCCATTCTCCCAAGTGAAGGGGTATCCTTGGAAGCCCAGGTCCTGTAATCCGGCCCCAGTCAGACAATCCGCAAACTCCTGAATCCCTGCTTCTTGTGCCAAATTCCCACCAACTTTCTCATTAGTAGATAGAACCTGGTTATAATCCCCGCCACATAACCACGGTCCATCCCATTGCTGAGAAATTCTAGTGATCATCTCCCACGTATTCCTCTTATCACCCTGTTCCGGCCACCCATAAACTCCTGTAAACCTCCACACAAACTCATCTTCTTCCTTCACCTTCATGTCAATATGGTGTTGATTGGCCGTTGCGGTGGACATATTAACCTCCTCTACCCACCACACACTCACTCCTCCTGCTTTACCTCCCCTTGAGGTATTTGCCGGAAAACTGAAACCCTTTGGATATCCGAGCTCCAATCTTGTTTTTTCATTCTCATAAACTAATTGACGTGTTTCCATGAGAAACACGACATGTGGGGATCCCTGACGTAACAACGATCTCAGGGCATTGACTGCTCACTTGCTCCCCAACCCGCGGCAGTTATAACTGAGTATCCTCATTTGACAACCAAAGGGGATAGGTTCCCGCACCTTTAGCTACCGATTTTCCCTGCGATTTAGTTTTTCCTTTATTAACTCCATTCTTGGCTGCATTATTGCTACCACTATTTTCTTTCCTCAACATCTCCTGTCCACGGCTGGAATTACCACCCCCTTTCTGGCCTCCCAACACCTCACGAGCTCCCTGATCCCTTGCCTTTCCCACTCCTTGCTTCCCATTCTTTGGCTGCTCCCCACCAATCCTAGTCTTCTTCCCAGCATCTCCCGGAACCTCATTATTATTAATCACAACTTCTGTTTCCTTTGGCCTTTGTCCCGGCCTCTCTGTCCCTTCCTCTGTATGGCTCCTGTTTAACTCAAGTGCATGGGGAGAATTCAAGTTTTGATAGACATGCTGGGGAGGTCCCTCCTCTACTTCCGTCTCTTTTTCCTCATCTAGGGTTGCAAACCGATTTAGGCCTTCCCGTGACTTAATCGGTGCTCTTCCTTCCTTGTCTTGTCGACCCAAACGTTTTTCCCTTCTCTTGACCATCATCCATTCTTCGTACAGTTGGACATTTGTCGGATCGTTCTTGTCCGGAACAAGCTTCTCGAATTCATCTGAATCCATCTCCTGAATTGGGTTACATCCCCTACATTGATTCGTTGGACTCCCATATGATCCACAATTAGTACATATATTATCAATACCCTCGTACTGAATAATGTATGTGATGCCCTCAATTTTATACTGGGATATGAGCGGTTGAGTCAGGTCCACTTCCACACAAACTCGAGCGAACTTCCCCCTGGCACCCAATTCTGTGGCTCTATCCACTCTAATCGGCTTTCCAATAGCTTCAACAATGCGCATTACTGCCACCTTATTAATGAACTCAATTGGGAGCTTCGGTAACTGCACCCAGATCATTGTCAACTTGATCTCAGCCTTCCATGGGTTGAAACCCTTATACCGTCGATGGACCGTCAGGTAGGTATCTCCCAGTCGCCATGGTCCTCCCATTATCGCCGTCTCATAATCCCTCTGATCCCGGAACCTAACCAGATAGCACCCGTTCTTCATATCCGAAATTTATAGCACCCCTTCACCACCAGCGCCGAGCGCCATTCACGCCGCCATGTAATCTTCTCTGCTGCCGTAAATAGTATCGTCGGATACTTTGGATCGAAAGTCTCCTCATCAATCTTGTCGTCCTCTTCCTTTTCAGCTATGGCAACATCTTCATAGTCCGATTCTTCCACGTACCATCGGTCCTGCTTCACCACCTCGCTGAACAAACGTTCGCCTCCCCTACCCCATGGGTTAGGGTTAACTGAGCTTGATCCTTCCGTCTCCATCTAAGTTTCGGTGATATCCTCCACTTCAACATGCTCCTTTTCGAACACCAGAGCCCCATGCATTCTTCTTAGGTTGCACCGACTCTTTTGCAATCTTTCCATCCGGTGAAGACGATACCTCCGCTTGGCGTCGGATCCCACTTATATCAGGGGGTTTCTCTGAAGCCGACGCTGTCATCGGTGACTGCGCCTCCATCGGACGTCCAGAAAACCCTAGCACAAACTATCGGCGTTGTGGGCTCAGACTATTCGTAGTAGACTAGTAGTACAATACGAAAAACACTATACCCTCGCTATTTATTTATTTCCTGTTTTTAACTGCTCCTCCTAACTCGTCCGCGGTCGGCTCCTGCACTTCTTGGGCATGCAATATGGGTGGCGGAGCCAGCTTGGTATTGGGTGGGTCCTGGACCCACCTTGTTTTGGGGTTAGAACACAAACTTAATTAAATTTGTACACAATCCATAATAGGGTTATATGTATAATATGCTCATCTATTATGTCATTTTATCAAATATGTCTCTCTACTATTTTTTACATCAAACATGCCTCTGTACTTTGAAAAAAATTATCAAACATGCCCTTCTTTTAAAATTTTTATTAAAAAAACCGTCAATCACAGTTGAACCCGACATCTATAAATGGGAGGAAAAATGTCCGTTTTGTCCCCCGATTTATTTCTCTAGGTCCCGTTAAAGTGAAATTATCATAGATATTTGGCTCTAAAAAGAACCCAAATAATTCTAAAGTGAAATTATCAAGGATATTTTAGACATTTGTGCCGCTAAAACTAAGATCCATTCGTGGTTGACGGTTTTTGGATGAAAATTTTAAAAGAATGACATATTTGATCATTCGTGGTTGTCATATTTAATCATTTGTCCAAAGTACAAGGGCATGTTTTATGTAAAATATAGTAAAGAGGCATGTTTGATAAAATGACATAATAGAGGAGTATATTATACCTATAACCCTCCATAATATATTAAATCCAATATAATTTTATTTGTCTAACAACGTATTGTAGAAAACTATGTGCCACCCATTAATTATGTATATTATATAAATAACTCTAGTGGTTACAAATGTTTGTATGTATAATTGTTTATTTTGAGTTTATGAGTTCATAATTTAGTGTTGAATTCTCTATACTGAAACGGAAATCAGTTGAAAAACTAAAAATACATGTCGTGAATTATTTAAATATTAATAAAATTTATTTTAGATATTTCTTTTTTTACGTTGGACCCACCTTGAGTGAGATTCTGGCTACACCTTCATGATTTCCGCCTGCGGTGCCATGCTCAGACCGCGTCGGTTATCAATTACTATTCCGGATGATTCAAAGTCAAAATTTGAGCAGATTTCATATTTGGATTTTTTTCATTTTGGTACTGGTTCATCGTTTTGTTTTATGAAATGATATAGTTTTGTTTTTCATAATGGTATTGATTTATTTATGTAATGGTATTGTTTGGATTTCAGAGTAGTAGTGGTATTGGTTGATTTTTGTATTTGTTTGACTCTTGTAATGATATAGATTGTTTATATTGGTAGTTTTATTGTAATTGTATTATTTTTCCATAATGGTATTGATTTACTTGTGCAATGGTATTGATGTTTTTCAAAGTGGTTGTGGTTGACTAATGAATTGATAGTGGTTTATTGTTTTATATTGGCAGTGGTATTATTTCGATTGAACGGAGACAAATTTTTTTTTGAGAAATAGAAGAAAGAGATATATGACTGGAGATTGCGAAAGTGAGAAAAAGAGAAAGTATAATTGTAATTAATATTTTTTATATGCTATTTATTTGAAAAAATAATTAATAAATTTTTTGTCATATCCCATTTGAGCTTAGTAACCATGGTGGCTACTATTTCATAGTAATCACCATACCCGCTCCCCTTTGGATTGGGTAATTGGATGAGTTGTTTTGGAACAAATAACTCATTGTGAGTTATTTGGCTCAAAATAACTGGTTTGACAGTCGAAAGAGCTATAAGTTATTTGTGTTCGGTTATTTCGAAATAACTCAAAAACGTGTTAACCAAAATAATGGGTTATTTTGAGTGATGATACTTTAACAATTTCTCCTCTACATCAGTGTGATAGTAGGGGAGAACAAAATAAATTGTAACTCGACCCAAACTACTTGCTCTCTTGGTTTTGGTGTGAGTTTCAGATTATACAACTTGTAGAATTTTGAGTCAATCCATGTTACAACTATCGTTCTAAGTGTTCGTACCTAAATGTTTTTATATTGTATACAATCATATTTGTTAGAAAATTCGGATATTTGTCATATTAGACATATTTAGCTATGATCCATTTTTTTTTGTCTATACAATTTTAGAAGAATAGAATAGTATGAATGTGTTAGCTTATAATGAATACCTTTTCTAGCTTATTTCAGTAAATATTTATGGAAAATACTAGACATATGTTGACGAACATTGTACTTCTTCAAGATCTAAACAACAATTTCTACGCATTTTGATAATTTTTGTTTTGGTTTATTTGCTTAAAATTTTAATTAGTTATACAAATTTTTAAGTGTTGGTATGTATTTTTACTCAAATGTATAGTCCACTGGACCAGACCCAATAACAAAAAAACTGTAGAGTTCAATTTTTGTGGTTTTGGATTTTGTATTCACAAAACCAAAGTATATGGATCAAATAATTAAAATGGCTAAATTGGAATGACTTGTGTACCACCCTATGTGAAAGCATATGAAAATTGGGAAGGGAAATATAAAAATATTATATTAATACATAATGATTAAGCCACCAGTCACATAGGGAGACGGGCCCGCACCTGCATATGTAGGAAAGGGGCGATTCCTTCTCGAGCATGCAACCTTATCGCCCCTCAGCACGTTGGAGCTTGTGTAAAGATGGTTCCAATAGATTTTGGCTTTATCTGTTGGGTTGTGTGCCAAATTTATCCTACAAATATGGCATTTTTGCATTTTGATACCTCGCTTAAGGGATTTTTTTTTGGCATTTTGACATGTGATTGAAGATATTCTTAGGATCAGGAGTCTCCATCCTTGCAATAGCCGAGAACATGTCATCAGAAAGCATCAGCTTGAGTTTTCCCCGATCTCACCCACCTTCCTCTGTAATCCAGTCCGCAACCACAAAATCTCTATCCTCCTCATTGATGTCCACTAGAGCAAAATCCTCCAGGGTGATACCACTGTTAATCCAGGGTTGGGTCCAGAACTTTCTTGACTGGCCAATCCTGATGCTCCTGCAAGTAGCAAGTTTCATAATGTTCATTCCTTTAACAATGGTCTTCCATAAGTTGGAGTGGTTACTCTTCTTCATGGATAGGATGTTCCCATTGTGTTGCTTGAAATATTTGCCCTATAACACTTGAACCCACATATCAGTAATCAGTGTCGTTGTTAAGCATACTCCATCCAAGATTAATCATATAAGCCATATTTATATGTGTAGCATATTTTAAACCCAGACCACATAGTTCCTTAGGTTTACAGATATTATCCAATGAAACAAGGTAAGTCTTCCTCTTCCATCACTAGACCCCCAAACAAAACCCCCCGACTTTCCAATCAATGGTGTCACATAAAGGAGGAAAGTGGTCTGTATAGTATAGGTGGGTAGGGCATTGAGCACAAATGTGGCAAGGATAACCCTACTAGCTAAATATAGGGTTCTGGCTTTCTAGTTGGTATTTTTTGGTCCATCCTATCAATGATATACTTATAAGTAGCTTTGGGGATCCGACCATTGAAAACAAGGACACCAAGGTATCTCCCCAGATCCAGAGTGGCTTGAATCCCAAGTCTCTTACAAATTTAAGTTTTGTTCTTCTTCTTAAAGTTTTTGGAAAAAAACACTCTGGATTTCTCCTTACTAACAGCTTCACCTGAGACTTCACAAAAATAGTCAAGGCATTTTAGAACAATATCAGCCTGTTGAGGATTAGCTTCAATAAAGAACCCTAGGTCATCAGCACAAAACAGGTGGGACAGAGCAGGCCCCCACATGGCGACAACCTAATAGGGTTCCAGTTACCATTCCCAACTTCATAATCAATGTAGTGACTTAATCTTTCAACACAGATAATAAATAGATAAGGAGAGAGTGAACGTCCTTGTCTAAGTCCTCTGGTTGGCCTGAAAGTCCCAGTTTCTCCTCCATTTCATAGGACTTGATAGCTTGTAGAGGTCACACACTCCATTATCAGTTTGATGATGCTTTCAGGTAGCCTATCATCCTTAAGAGTTTCTTCAAGGAATTCCTCTTGTTAGCAAGATCCACCTTCAGGATCGTGAAGCCCTTCCTGCAACGTTTCCTTGCCATGGAGTGGATGGTTTCCTGAAAAATAATAATATTATCAGTGATGTGTCGATTAGGGATGAAACTGGAATGGTTTTTATTCACAAGATAAGACATCAATGGTTTTAGTTTGTTAGCAATCAGTTTTGCCACCACTTTATACTCAACATTACACAGGCTAATAGGTATGAACTAACTCATTGAGGAGGGGTTTTCCACTTTGGGAATCAAGGTGTGGAGAATCTCATTGTTGAATTAGATTCTGTTAGGATTCCTAAAGCAAGAGAAGATAAACACACAGAAATCTCTACCCACAGAGTTCCAACATTTCTTGTAGAAAATGGCTTGGAAGCCATCTTTACCTAGTTTGAACTGCATGTCAGAATGGGACGATGATCAGATTTAATCTTT